GCACCCCTCTGCCCTCTTCAGACACCCATCTCTCCTTTAGACTTTTTTTCCTGCAACTAATATCTTGCTGCTTCAAAGTAAATTTGAGAGTCCTCCTCTTTATTGTCCTTTTATAACTTCTTTATTCATATCTAACTTCAGCAAAATCTGTCTTCCCTGTATATATCTCACTCATTTTTCCCCTTTCCAGTCCATAACCATTACCCTCTTGCAGCTTTGTGTTTGAGCATTTATGCCACGGCCAAACTCTGTTGTTTCCTTGGCTCTATTTTCTCTTCCTTTCAATTCATTCTGCATATCCATGCCTGGTGAGTTTCCATTTTCAATTTTTCAAAGGGCACAACTTCACTCCAGAAATATCTGTCTCCTACTAACCTGTCTTCTCACCTTCCCTCACTGTCAGGAGGGTAGGCATCTGCTCCAGCTGATACCAGTTGTAATTAGCTAGTTAATAATAGGAAAGGAGCCAGACATTGTAGGCATGTTCCCTGCAAAACACTAGGGGAAGGATCCAACAAAGGGAAGAGAGACGCATGCCCAGTAAAATTGGGGTGACAGAGGGACTGTGCTTTCTTGTCAGTCACACCTGGGAATAGAAGTCATTGGCCAGGATGGGTATGGCCACTACAAGGGCACAAAGATCTGGGATCCTTAATCCCCTAAACATAGAAGTTCACTCTCTTGCTTCCTCTTGGCACACCCGGCTCGTGGTTCACACTTGGCTTCCTGGCATTCTCCCATGTGGCCCACAGCCATTGGGACCTTCCCACACAATGGGCGAATGGACTGCAGCTAGCCTGGTGCTGACCTGGACTCGGCTCCAACTTGGAAAGGAAACCCTGGACACTGGCTCTGATTTTAGCCCTACTGAAACCCCAGCTACACTTCTCTTATGACTGGACTAAGGGAAACGGGACTTTGGAAACCCATGGGGTATAATTCCACAGAAACAAAGCTTTCTACCATATCTCATCTTCCTGTGGGGGCCTCCAGAAACGCTTACTCCAAAGGTACCCCAAGAACCCCACTCCCACTAGCAACCAGGCAAGACAAGGCACTTTTTCTCCATAACACAGCCAGCGCTCTGCCTTGGCCCCTTAAACACCTCAGTTTTTTTTCTTGGACTTTGCTCCTAACTTTTCTTCTACCAGAGATCACCCCCCCCCCACCAAATTGTGTCTTAACCTCCCTTCAAAGTGCTGCTCAAGCCCATCCCCTCCAGTGGGCCTGCATCTGTGATGACTCTATAATTTGTGAACGTTGGCAGTGTCCACGCCCCTTCACACCAGGCACAGCTACTTTTTATTGTTCTCTTTCATGAAAACCAAAGTTCTTTTATTCCACAAAACTATGACAGTAACTTCAAGGTAAAGATTATATCTGGATTCCTTGCTCCTAGTGCAGAGCCTAGCACAAAATTAGAATTCAGAGTTTGTTGAATAAAGGGATGAATTAAATAGCGAGTTAATGACTGCCTGCTCTGGCGCAGAGACTCGAGCTGTGAGAAAGGTCCCTACATCTAAGGCACTTGAGGCGGACGTTTGCAGGTCGGTGGGTGTCCTGAGTCACGTAGAAAACCGAGTGCAGATGTTCCAGTTTCAGCTGAGAGAACTGTTGGAGGCAGGCAACTTTTCCTCTAGGCCGGGTTTCCCTTCTTAATTTCGACAATTTGCAGCTGGGGGAGGGTGTGGGGGGAGGGGATGTCTTTTACTGTGTCAGATTGTGTTGGGTTGGTCATATTTTTCTAGTCTTAATATAGTGGCGGTCTCTGTGACTGACCCTCACATTGAGCTCTCCCCAGCAAGAGCCTGCAGACTGAATTCCATTAGTTGGAAAACAAATTGAAATAACATTCTGATTTTGTTTGCTTCCAGTATTGATATTCTAATTTTTATTTTTTAAAAAAATCCAGCATAAAAATCTTTCTTTACTACAAAGAAAGACACAGCTAAGACGTAAGGCCCTATAGCTCAGGGGTTAGAGCACTGGTCTTGTAAACCAGGGGTCGCGAGTTCAAATCTCGCTGGGGCCTGGCTAGTGTTTCTTACCGTTTTTGATTCTTCTCACCACCCACCCCGTCTTCCTACCGATAACCTTGACCCCAGAAGAAATTCGGCTCTTTGTATCTTCTCACCGCAATTTAGACCTCGGGAGTGAACTGCGCGGAGCTGAGCGGGTTCCTGTGCCAGTGCGCAAGTGCTGCTTTTGCAACCTGAGCTGCGGGCGAATCCATTATAAGCTCGGGAAGTGCTGTGGGCCTCTGCGGACCCCCCCGCGCGGCTGGAGTCTGGACGGCGGCCTACCCCGAGCCGGGATGGGGCGGTGCAGAGAGAGTGGGCCGGAGCGCTCAGCACCCGCCCGGAGCTGGCGCGGGTCCCAGCACCAGGTCCTCCCGCCGGCGCCAGCCTCCCGGCCTAGGCTGCCCCGCAGGGTTTCATGTTTCAGGGGCTTTTCCAGCGCCTCAGTATCTCAGCGGGTAAAATGCTGGTCGAGACTTGGATCACCAAATTTGTTATTGACTCAAAGAAGCCGTGGCTTTCTCTTTGGAAAACCTTAAAATATTTTTACCAAAAGTCAGTTTTCACAGAAACACTGGGCTTACCCGTATATTCTCTATTTCATACCCACCCCGAAAACAGCTGTAGCTGGCCTGTGCCCAAGCGCCTGGGTGGGGAGGCGAGCGCAGGAAGTGAGGAAATGAGGAGGCCCGCACCCTCGGCCCGGCTCGGAGGGGCGCTGTAAGAACCAGGTGTCCCACCGAATGGCTCGGAGGGGCGCTGTAAGAACCGTGTGTCCCACCGAATGGCTCGGAGGGGCGCTGCGCTGTAAGAACCGTGTGTCCCACCGAATGGCTCGGAGGGGCGCTGTAAGAGCGACGTGTCCCACCGCCTCAGCCCCTAGCTCTCCGATGCCCGGGTGGCTGCTTCCGACCTAGATAGACCTTGTGCAAGGCAGGACCCGGGCCCCCGCACTAGGTGAAATCAACAGCTCCCCTCTCCAGGGGAAGGAGCCCCACCTCCGCAGGAGGCCTCGGGAGGCACGGGTTCTAGCGTCGCCTGTCGGGGAAGAGCACGGATCGGCCCTGCTTGGAAGCCCTTCAGGGAAGCAGGAGAATCTAGCTCTAAAAGGGTGTCTCCAAAACCGTGCATGCAGGGCGTTCTCGCAAGACGCTCACTGCGCGGTGTTACTCGCCAGGAATCGAAAGGCCGTCTCGTACAGGCCGGTAGTTCTCTCTACCTTGAATACGGAATTCTAGAACACCAGCTCACGTGCTCCCTTCGATAGCTCAGCTGGTAGAGCGGAGGACTGTAGTCGTTTCCTGCTTGGTCATCCTTAGGTCGCTGGTTCGATTCCGGCTCGAAGGAGAAGCTTCTGTTTTGGGCCAGCCACTTGGAAAAAGCCGAGTTTCACGGATCCATTCTTGAAAAATGGATCTTGTGCGCTTTGGTGGTTAACTAGTGAGGAAAGAGGAGCGTGCACTCATTCAACTAACCAACTAGAAAGGTTCTGAATATCTTATGCTTTCTTTTCGCTTCCAACTAACTAACCAACTAGAAACGTTCTGAATATCTTATGCTTTCTTTTCGCTTCTGGTTGGCCCTAGGTTGCTTCCCCAGGACCCCATATCCGAGACCCCATACCACTCGTTGGTTCAGAATACTGTGTAAATGTGCGTTTGTGGCCTGCGGCCTTCGGGACATTAATTTGCAGAACAAACCCCTTAACTATGACCTTCAGCCCGAGATTCTGACCCCGTTCTGTGCACACGTCCATGCAGAAAGAGGACCTTTTAATCTACTTAGCTGTTTATGTATTTTTATAATTCCATGAAAAGATCTTTGAACCGTAGCAGGAAGGAGGAGTAGGATTTGATGTGAGACTGAGAGCATTTCAAAGCGTGAAAACAATTTATGCAAAGGTGGGGAGAGCTTGACTCTCATTTAGGGAAACTGCAAAGGGTCTGAAATATCCCAACACGCGCCAGACTGGCTCACCACCAACCAGCTCCGGCTCCCGATACGTGGGTGCTCCCCAGTCCCGTCCCCAGGGTTTTATGCTCGCGCGAGACGGTAGCGACGCGACAGATCCACCTCCTGCGCGTCTGTCCTGGGGCTGAGGACTCCACAGCCTTGCCACGGAGTCCCGCCCGGGCTCGTGGGCTCCAACCCGCTTCCCTCCAGGCCCCGGCTGCGGCGAGACCCATCCCGGCCGGGCTCGGCGGAGCTCAGCGACGGGGCCTGAAGTCTGCAAGGCTGTCTCTCCTCACTCCATCTGGCGTCTGGACGGCTCCAGGACGTGGATCGGGGAGAATAACTGAGGCCAGGGCCAGAATCAGACGTGAGACTTCATAAAGATGGGGAGAAAAACTAAGCCAGGCAAAAAGTAACGGCTGCAACAGGGAGCAAAACTCCAAGAGTAGCCTGGTAGACAAACGAAATTCAGAGGAAACAGAAACAGGCTTGCACCTGTCGTGGCTCGTTGGTCTAGGGGTATGATTCTCGCTTTGGGTGCGAGAGGTCCCGGGTTCAAATCCCGGACGAGCCCGAGTTTTTAAAATTTGTTTTCCCTCCTTTAGGAGAGACTGCAAAAAGTTCTGCTCCATACAGACCTTCTCGTGATCCCAACTCTTCTGCGAAAGACAGGTGCACTGAACGAACGCGGGGCAGATGCGGGCTGGTGACCTGCGGGGGACGAAATGGTCTGGCTTCCTGGAGTCCAGGTGCCCATCGCTCCTGCAAGCAGCGGCCCGTGTCCTGCCTGGCCCCTGGGAGCAGGGACGAGTGTCCCGTGTTCCGGTGTGTCGTGTCTCGAACTGCGATCTCCAAGGTCGCTTGGAGCGAGGCCTGCTGTGGCGCCTGCTCCGGAGGCTGGCCCAGGCCGCTTGGCGCCTCCTGGGAGGAACTGGGAACGGTACCAACCATCCTAGGGCTCGCCCACCAACCCTTCCCTCCTTGCTGCACCCCAATCCCGTCCGGGCACACACGCGAGCTGACCACACGCAGATCCAAAGCAGGAGTCAAAACAACATCTTTGCATTTTCCATCAGTTCCCCATCATCATACAAAGGAGGAAGAAGCGGGTAAGGAACAGAAGCTCTTTCCTCTGCCCTGCCCTTTTCTGCAGCTTTGTTCCGAGACCGAGATGGGTTCACAGTTCTGTTCCTCCTCGTCGAGGTAACTTTCCAGGGGCGCTTTGGCTGCGGGCGCGGCTGGGGGGCTCCTTCTTAGCAAAAGCAATTCGAGTGGAGTTTGCGGACCCGGCTGGAGGAGCTGAGGAATGGGAAGGAAGGTGAAAATGCCGTTTTTGTAAAGTTAGCGATTCTGCATTCCCACCCCATGTTTACTTTGCGCAGCTGGGCAGAGGTGGCAGCGCGCCTATGGCCGAGAATGTGGGATTCCAGGGGGACCACGGCCGCGTGGGCAAAACCAAGGGAGGCCCGCGCTCGCTCAGATCAGAAGGATTCTTTGCTTGGTACTCAGGTTGATCGCCAGATTTATGAAGCAGGACTTGTTCGGTTTTTGCAAGTGGAAATGACATTTTGGGACTGGTGTTTACATATTCTGTTTGCTCACCTCGGTCTCCTCACCCTTAACCCACCCAGAGCCAGTGCCGTGAAATTCTTGAAGACACTGCCAACAGCCCCTTTAAGCTTTCTTACTGGAACAATGGGAACCTGAGCTTTCTTAATGGAAGACGACACATCAAATGATAACAGCATATGGGCATAACAGGACATCTTTGTTTCTGAAGGACAGTAAAAACAGTTTTAGCACCATTGTGGGGACAAGGAAAATCTTAAATTAGCCAAGACCCTCCCTTTGTGTCATTAAGAACCTTCTAATCAAGCTATAAATGTAATCATCAGAAACTCAAGTGATATAATTATCTGACCAGCAGATGGCCAACCTCCCAGAAGCAGCCTCAGGTATTCAAAGAGCTACTTACCTGTACAGCTACTAATGAGTTAGTGTTGAACGCAACTTTTTTTTAAGTAAAATATTTTTGGAATTTATGGAAATATTCAAAGTAGGTTTCCCTTAAACAGCAACTTCCACAGGCACCTTTAAAATTAGCTTTGATTTTCTAGAAATTACTAGTATAGAACATGAAAGCTGTGTTGTACATTGGAAATCTTCTACTCCTAGGAATGGTAGTTGTTCCTTGGGCCATACATGTTCTCTTTTTTTGTTCCTCAGTTTCCTCATCTGTAAAATGAGAGTTAACAGATGGTCTCTGAGGTCCCTCTCTTTCTTATTCTATGACTGCATGGAGTGGCCAGGTATTGTAACAGGACTAAAAAATAAAAATTTAAAAAAATAAGAAGGTATTCCAGTAATAATGAGAAAAACTACCATTCGGCAAAGAGCATAGGAAAAACATTCCAGGAAAAGACATATGGCTCTGCCTTTTTTCGAAAGTACAGATGTCAGGTTATAAGCAGGCAAAGATAAGAGGTTTGTCAAGTTATTGTTGGAAGTATTTACCAGTGGTGATTCATAAATTAAAGTGGATGGCTGAGAAAGTGGACCAAAGCAGGCTGGCAAAACCCCTCTTTAGGAGTTTTCATTATACTGTATTTGAGCAAAAAGCAATCTCTGTAAACCGTTATTCTCAGAAGAACACCTTGAAATATTTGGGAAAGAGAATGGGCTTTATGCCCAGAGTTTGTTGAAAAGTGAATGATTAATTTTTGTGTCTTTGGAAATAGAGCCCCGTCAGCAGCCCTGTGCCCCCATTCCCCCTCTGTCAATCCTGTCTCCCCTTCCTGGAAGTGGAGCATGATCCTTCTTTCCACATGAGCTTCCTCCTCTTTTAACCGTTACTTCTGTTGCTCAGTAAGTTTCATGCTTATAAACCAAAACTATGTAAGAATTAGAAAGAAACTTAGAGATTCACCTCTTCTCTCCATCACACTATTTTGTAATTAGTCTTAGGGACAAAATTAAGCATTTGCACTCTGTGTGAAGGGGGGACGTTCACCAACACTAGAGTCCTTAGAAGGAGAACCCGAGTTTCCCATGTCTCTGTGCAGGGAAACCGTTGGCTTAAAGAAGGAACATAGAAAAACATTTTAGAAAAAGGGGAATAACTTTCAAGTTCGAGCTGTCAGAACATTTTTTAAATATATGAGTATATTTTTCAGTTGGCAGTTGCTTCACACCTATTAAAATTACTGACAAAGATATAATGTTCATTAATCGTAGACTATAATTTCTTGTTGTATTTTGAAACACAAATGGGAAAGCACTTAAGTGCATTTTAATAAAATGGTAAAACTCTCCCCCCAAAAAAACTTATTTTTTGTTTCATTATAACCTCATTGTGCCAAGCGGAAAATAAAAACAATTAGAATGAAAGCAACCATTCACCTGACTCTGCATTGTCAACTGTGTAGGCAGTTCGTGAATTTTCCCGAGGTCGCTCAGTGAAATCGTAGAGACAGAGAACATGTGGCTGTGTTCAGAGGCTGGAGGCTGCTCCCCAGCATCGCTGCATGACTCTAAAATTAGAGGCTGATCCGTTTCTGTGAGTTGGTGCTTGAACTGGTGTTTCAGGCCATGGGACTCTGTGTGTGAATGTGATATTAGAGCACCTTGTCTCTATTGTTAAGCCATTTATCAGAGAAGGGTGGTGTTGATCAAGTCGCCTTGATCCCCAAAGGCTGTGGGAGTGGCTGCTGCTTCAGTCTTGGGGACAGCTGAGGCAATCAGGGTGTTTGAATGGGCCTGGCAACCGTCTTCCCTAACAAATGACTGGGTGATAACTTTTTAGAACTCACTTCTTCAGTGTCTCTTTAAAAAGTGATCTGTGATTAATTTAAATTAGGTACCACTCTCAAACAGCTTGTCTGCCCACAAAGGGAAAGGGAGGATTTGCATACTCTGCTAGGTGGCAGTAGAGGCCCTGCTCTGTGGACCCCATGTCCTGTTACCTCTCTTTGCTCCTAAAAGACATTGAACTTTGGTGTTTGGCAGAAGAAATGTACTGCCAAGCGCATGGTCAGAGGCATGCCTGCCCCTTCCTTTCCAGAGGCTTCAGGGCCCCTGAAGCTCCAGGTGCTGAGGGAAAGGCTGTTTATGGTGTCTGATGAGTCCTCTGCTCACTACCCTCAGCTTTTTTCCTTTTAGCTCAGGATTTGGTTGGGGATGCAAGGAAGAAGGGGTGGGGGGGGAAGGGGAGTGAAATTCAGGCAGGACTGTGTCCCGACACAATTGAAAATAGGTGAACTTTGTCCTTCTTTGGGTTCTCCATGCCCATGTCACCAGAAAGGGACTGGGACTGGCCGAGGCAGATCTGCCCCAGCATGGTCTGGGATGTGTGGGTTTTTGACTTCGTGTAGGAAGGAATTCAAGATACGAGTCCAGGTGATTTTGAGAGCATGTGTATTAAAGCTTGGGATAGTGCAACAAAGGAAGGGCTTAGGATAGAAGAGGCAAGATCACAGTAACAGAAGCGAGCCTAGGCTGGGCTGCCTAGACTCACTGAAAAGTAAAAGTCACAGTGACAGAAGTGAGCCAAGGCGGGACTGCTTTGGGCTCACAAAAAAATTAGGCAAGAGGAGGGCCCTCGGAGCTTAGGGGAAGGAAAGTAAAATTGCACAGTAGGTGTGCCCAAGGGAGAGGGTGTGTTGGATCCTTTGTCTTGAAGGTTTTATCTGTTTTCTGTAGGTGGGAATTTTAGGGGAGGTCTTAATCAGAATATTTATCAGCTTTTGAGTGGGGTTTGGGATCATTCTCTGGTCATCTTTGTCTCTATCTTGGATTTGTCTAGCTCTGTTTGTTTGTTTTTTGTTTATTCCCCTGACTTTATCTGTTCTTGGGTATGGCTGGCACTGATGGCACTAACTGGGTCTCTGGATGACTTAAGCTACTTACTTTACAGTTGAGGAAGAGAGGTGTAAACCACCTGCTCCCAAGTGTCCTTGGCTAAAACACTTAGCTGGCTGTTAATTGCTTGGCCATTTGTTTAAATATTTTGTCTCCGTTTTCCTTGTTGCACTTGCCAGGGAATTTCCCTGGTATTTTTTAAACCTGCCTCACCCACCTTTCTTCCTCCCGAAATCCTCAGGTCCTTCCAGTTAGCAAAAACCGTTCTTAAGATAAGCTCTAGAGCACATGCCCGAGAGTGTGTACCTCACTGCCAGCTGTTTAGAGAGTTAATCTCTCTCAGGAGAGATTGCATTGGAATAGGAATTAATACCTCAAAAGTGAAGGTATATTACTGGGTTTTTAGGATTTATCAGTAGCTAGAAGCAGAGCTTTCCTGGGACCCTGGAAGCCTTTCTACTCTACCTGCCTTGTTTGGTAACCCAATTGTGTTGGTGAGCCTTAAGAGAAGCCAGGACAGTTTGCATGGTTGGGGTCTCCAAAGTGAGATCAGAGAATGCATTCCCAGACCGTGAGGAATAACAAAAACAACTTGAGGCCTGGGTGTCAGTCACTGTCTTAGAAACTAAGACTGTAGAGATGAGTAAGACAATTATTCTTCTCTCAAAGGGGTTCTATCAAATGGAAAGACAATGAGATCAATTAACCATCAAAGAAGTGATGATTATCAGTGTTGCAATGATGGTGGAGATAATCAGTTTTGCCACTGTGCTACAGGGAACAGAAGATTGAGGGCTCAGTGTTACTCTTTTGTGAACAGCTGAGGAGGAAAGTAAGGAGAAGCCCAGGAAATAAGGCAAGGATATTTCTGTGGGTTAATAGCTGGGAGGTTGAGGTCAAGGCAGTGGCTACTAATAGCTGTCACATAACCTCTAAAAGTGCTTTCCTGGTTCTGTGAAATCTACTTATTGGCATGATATCCCTTCATGAAACCAAATTATGTGGGTAAATAGACGGTGCAGGGAACAGCATTCTGCCAGGAGAACACATTTACTCTGTGGGCTTCTCCAAAGCAGTTCTTGGAGTTGGCTCAGAGATCAGAGACAACATCTTCTGGATCCAGATCATTATATGTGAACAATGAAACTTCGGTCCTGACATGGGCAAGAGTAAGAAATACGGACATCAGAAAAAGGGCAGCTTTGGGACAAAAGGCCATGCTTATCAATATCAAACTTTGCCTCTCAGAACAAATATTTAATCCATTCCAGTGGGTAAATATTTGACCCAGTCATGCCCATGGAAAGGTGAATG